CTCTCTCTCTCTCTCTCTCTCTCTCTCTCTCTCTCTCTCTCTCTCTCTCGGTGGGGGTTCTGACAAATGTTTCTGTCAGTTCTGTTTCCCTGTATTGACCAATGGCTTTCTTTGGTCAATACCCCCACCCCAACTCCGGCTTAAGACCTGTGGCCCTTGCTGTTGAAAACCCAAATTCTTTTGTCTCTTCCAGGTTGCCCAGAGAGACACCCCACCCCAAAAAAAAAGAAAAAAAAATGAAGGAAGGAAGGAAGGAAGGAAGGAAGGAAGGAAGGAAGGAAGGAAGGAAGGAAAAAAAACTTCACCTGTCTGCACCACTCCAGTAGAGTGCTTGCTTGTTTTGTTGCTTGACTCCTGCCCAGGGTTGGTCCCTGTGTGGAGGGGGGAAGGGCTGGGCCTCTCATCAGGGCCCCTGCCATCTAAGTGCAATACACAAGGAAGGGGGAAATACTTCCCCCAGGGGAGCATTCCCTCTGCTCCTGCCTGCTCTAAGCAGCACCAGGGAGGGGGGGTGGCAGTTCTCCTGGGGTGAGCCCAAAGGAAGAGAGAAAGTCCTGCTCCTTTCTTTTCCGTGGTTCATGTCTTCTTTTCAATTAGTGATCTGTATAGTTGGGAAACTCAAAACTCAACATCCTCTGAAAAAAAGCAGAAAACCCACCCCTGGACCAGGCTGGGAATCACTGTCACACAATGCAGCTGAAAGACCCCCCATGGGGTGGGACCCCAGGGTGACCACTCGGGAAATGTGGCGACCCCAATCACCAGGCGGAGGCAAGGACTTGATGCAAATTGCAAGAGGTTTTATTACAGTTGTTTAACAAATGGGCCTTTCATCCACCCACCATGGGTATGGCTGGGGAAAAAGACCATGAGAAACCCCGGGACAAAGATCTTATAGGACAGCATAAGGGGAGCATCTAGGGGTATGCACAGGCTCAGGATTGGTGTGCCTCCAGGCTTGGAGGACCTGTCACAGGGCAGCTTGTTGATTGGTCAACTGGTTGCTATGAGCCATAGGCCCTCCCAGGGTGGTTGCTATGTTCTGTACCTCTCTGCTGTGAACTTGTCTGTAAAGCACACCCAGAGCCATAAACATAGCCCTGCTAGCTAACTTCTGATTGGTTCCTTGCCACGAGGCAGGCATCTGACCTCCTCCAAGGCAAGATCAGGCAAGCATGTGTTAGGCTGTTATGGCTGCCAAAACGGGGAGCTGGTCCCTTCACAGCCTGGACAGACTAGATTTTCCCTTATGTCCAACACTGACTAAGGAGACTTAAACAATTTTCACTAGGTTCTTTTTAGACGAATTAAAGACAGTTGCTAAAAAGATTTCCTCTGTCATCCGGTTGGCTTCAGATATTGGGGAAAAAAATTTAAAAAATTTGGTATTTAACAACAGACAACTGATTAGGGTGAGACCTTTACCATAGCTGAAAGTCACTGTTACCTTCTCTGTGATGAGACACAATTAGACACAGCAAATTTTTGGTGTCTTACCCTCTATCCGGAGAATATTTAGCTGAAAGCTCTGCCTCCAATCAAAAGATACTGTTGAATTATCCCTCAGATTGAAGACAAAGATTATGGGCAGAAACCAACTCTCCAGGACTAACCCAACACCAAGTTCCTATTATTGTTCAACTAACCAGTTCAGCTACCCCAGATTAAACAATGCCCAATGACCCTGGAAACCAAAAAGGGATTTTGCAGTCCATGTTGCCTGGCTTGGAGAGACAGGCATCCTGATGTCCTTCCAGTTAGCCTGGAATATGTCTCTCCTACCTGTGAAGAAACCTGGGACATCTGATTCTCATAAGTCTGATTCTTCCAGACAAACATCAAGTGTACACTGTCTTAGACCTGAAAGATGAATTCTCCAGCCTCGCATTGGCAGAGGTGAGTCAACTGTGTTTGCTTTTAAATAGACAGACCCAGAGGGGTGTCACAGCAGGCAACATACTTGGACCAGGTTGCCCCAAGGATGTAAAGACACTAAATGCAGCTCTCCTGCACTTCTGTCAGAGATTTCCTGGGAAAATAGATTATAAGGGGCCACTGGAGGAATGCTGCAGGAGTTACAGACATTGGGCTACAGAATGTCAGCTAAGAAAGCCCAGCTTCATACATCAGAGGCTGCCTATCCAGGCTATCAGCTGAGGGGAGAAGCCGGTCTCAGAGTAGGACTGCTGCCATCCTTCAGATCCCAACTCCAAAGACTGATACAGGTTTGAGAGTTCCTAAGTATAGCTGGATATTGCTGCCTCTGAATATCAGAGTTTGTGGAAATAGCAAGGCCTTTATCTATACACCATCACAAAACGGGCCACTGAGCCCCTAACTTGGACTGAAACTAAACGAAAAGCATTTGAGGTTTAAAAACATTCCTGACTTCTACTGCAGCCCTAGCCCTTTCAGATGTCTCAAAGCCTGTCCATCTGTTTGTCCACAAAACAAAAGACAATACAAAAGGGGTTTTTAGCCACACTTTGGAGCCACGGAAACTTGTCCAAATGATTGGACCCTGTTACAAATAATGGTCCACTTGTCTAAGAGCTGTGGTAGCTACTGTTAGTCTGATAAAAAAAACAAGCAAGTTAACTCCAGGTCAAGATTTTATACTCACATCATTCCCTGGGGTTGAGGCCCTCCTCTGAGAAACACCAGAACACTGACTGTCTAAAACCTGGCACAGTGCCAGGCCCTACTCTTGGCCCACCCTCAAGTCCACTTTGAGAAACCTACTGCCATCCATCCTGCAAACCCTCTTGCCTGGTGACAACTGGCAGGTGCTCATCCATGACTGTCATGAGATAAAAGATGAAACCAGTTATGTGGAAGCTGCCATTGTTACTTTAACTGGAACTGGCTTGATTTGGGCCCAAGCCAGGTATCTCAGCCCAGAGAACAGAACCGATCCATCTGACCCAGACTCTCAAATGCAGAAAAGGAGAGTCTACACTATACATAGACCGTTGCTATGTTTCTACTACAGTGCATGTCCATGGCATGATCCATAGAGAAAGACAGTTTTTCGCCACTGGGAAAAAGACATTCGGAACTGAAAACCTTGACCCTCCTACAGACTATTCATCTTCCCCTACAAATTGATGTACTCCACCACTGGGCCACTGACCTTGCTGTCCAACAAATGGCCCTAAGACCAGTGGAGCCTTTTGATATCTGATGACATTTCCTGACCTAGTGCTGCCTGAGACTCCATGGTAAAGAAGAGATGGACAGTTCAAATCCACAGGTTGATGGAGGACAACAGAAGGAAAGATCATTCTCCCAGAAATGACTGGCAGGACTCTGGTGACTGACCTTCATTGGGCTACTTCTCTGAGATTCACAAAGCAGAGTTGCTCAGACCAAAGTTTGTTATACCTAGTAGAGGATATCCCAACCAGATTTCAGTTTTGTGCCTAAGTAAATCCAAACCAGAGAGCCCTTATCCAAGAAGGGTTCCAAATGAGAGACCAACACCCTGGAGAACTCTGAGAAAACTGACTTCACAGAGATCTGGCCTGTCAGGGGAAGATAAAAATACTTGCCAGTTTTTATAGGAACTAGCCTTCTGTTCTGGGTGGGTAGATTCATTCCCCCCACCCAGACTAAAACTGCTCATATGGTAGCTTAAAAGCTCCTCCAAGAATTGGTGCCCTGATTTGGCCTACTCCTAGCCAATGGGATCTAACTATGGCCTGGCTTTCATAGCCAAAACCTCTCTATTAATAGCTAAAGCTTTAGAAATAAATTGAAAACTTCATTGTGCTTGTAAAACTCAGTCCTGGGAATATAGAAAAAATAAACAGGATATTAAAAAAAACAAATAAAACTGCAACAAAACTCTATTTAGAGTCCAGCGCAGGGTGGATAAAACTCCTTCC